CACATATATTCTATTTGTTTTCATGTAAATCATCTTCTTCTTCTTATCTTTCGTTCTTTACATATGCTAACATTCTTTTATCTTTATTCTCATAATCTGTAAATCTAATCACTTCTTTTTTTATCTTACTCAACTATTATTATCTTGCCTTCTCATCTCATGCACTTTCTTAGCCTCTTCTCAGGCTCGTCTCGTATTCTGCTCATACTTTATCCTCATATCTTATCATCTCATCTCGCACCCTTCTCATACTCTATTATTTTCTATCTTTAACTCTCTCATAATCTTCTCACTTCATCTTTTTTCTTGTGCCTTACTCTTATCTCGTCTCATCTCTTTGGTCTTCTCAAACCCTATACATGCTTTTCTCATACCTCTTACTCTTAGCATGCCTTCTCATAATCTTCTTACACTTACCTCTTTATTCTCAAATTCTCACGCCTAGCATTATATTCTCAACTAGACCCAACGGTACAATCTCATACGATAGTCTCATCTACCATCTAAGGGAAACACCATCCCACTAACGTTACATGGGTACACTCATCCGGACTTGCTCCCTTCTCTTTTGATCCCTCGTGGATCCTTAAACATTTTTTATTCTCTTGAATCCCTCACAGATTCCTTACTCTTAATCCATCATGGATCACATCTAAGTTATTTCAAAGAACTCTTTTATATTGTTCCACTCATGAAACCCTTCCTTTACCTCTTCTAACCACCACAATCCCATTCTTTCATGAATCTTATATCTACATTCCCAAAGGAATCATAATCTTATTCCCAATGGAAATCATCTTTCTACTCTTCTCAAAATCTCATTTATACATGTTATGGTCTCACCATAGTCTTACATAACACTTGTCCCGTGGACATTCTATCTTTTTATCGCATGGATAGATCTCCCACTACTCAACTAGTAATTAACTCATTAAGTACTTAATCTTTATGTCCATTGCATACACATAGGTATTCTACACAATACCATTATCATCTTCGCATACATACTTTATCTTCAACTCCACCTACATACTCTATCTTTCCACCACACATACATACTCTAAATATACTTACATGCTCATATACATGTTTTAAATGTATAATCTCATACAGACTCTAGGTATATATACATGCCCAGCCACATGAATTTAAACGTATAACCATAGTCTTTTTCCTTCTAACATGTAATCATAAACATGCATACATAAGATTATAAAATACATAATTATAATTTAGAAAGAGAGATAGAGAGAGAGAGAGAGAGAGAAAGAGAAAGAGAGAGAGAAAGAAAGTTATAACATGTATTCTACCCTTAGGCTCCTTTCTTCAATTGATGCATCTTGATCCATCTTTTTCGATCAAGGCCTATTCATACAACATATCAAGTTTCTTAAAACTTGTGTTAGCCTATTAAAAGCTTAATCACTTTCTATGTCAAAACGAATTCTCAATGGATCATAATTCTACCTACTTATTTTATACTTCTAAATTTATTCCAATCAATGAATCATGGATCCCATACTACCTAATTCATTACACTCTAATTTATTCCATCAATTCATTAAACTCACTAGTTAGGGTTTAAAACCCTAACTCTCATTGGGTTGATTTCGCCATGGAAATCACTTCCCAAGCGTGCTTAAAGCTTCAAAAAACATTTAATAACATCATAATCAAGCTATAGGTTAATCGATTCAACCAATCTAGTCAATCTCACACTTTCAACAAAATAGAGAAATCTTTAACTTAATGGAGAGAGGATGATAATCCTTGTTAGGCTCCATCTCTAGCTTCTCTTGGCATGATGTTGGCATCAAAATCGCCACCTCTTAGCTCTCACTGAAATCCCATGAGATATGATCGAAATGAGTTCATAAAAGGTTAAAACCTGTGTTTTGATGTCGTAACTGCGTTGCGGTAATCTATTTACCACACCGTGGAGCACGTAAGTTGGTTGCGGTCAACTTCTAACCGAGCTGCAGTACCCATATACCACGCCGTGGTGCAAATCACATTGCCTTCCACTTACGTCGAGACTCTCTGAATCACCATCTAACTTCACCGCTCCGTCGCAACCTCTTCACCACGTTGTGGTGGCTGCATGACAGCATCCCCCTTAGTTGATTCCATTCCAACTTTGGGACATTTTCTCCCAATCTTCTAGCGTACATAACTTCTTCATCTTAAACCCGTTTTGTACGATCTTTATATCCCCACGAAGGTGGGGATGAGTTCCATAACTCCACTAAGTCACTTCGTACGGACTTAATATGGGTCTTTAAGTCACAAACTCAACCCAAAAGGCATAAAATTTTCCATTTTACCTGTTTTGCTAAAATGCAAATTCTTATACATTTCTTCTCTTGAACTCACTCATCTAATCCCATCGAAGTGACTTAAACTTATCTTGGCTATTTTCCTGAAGTCACAACTTCATAAACTTACAAAATTCTCATAAATGACTGTTTTGCCCTTTTGGTGTATATTTAACTAAAAGTCAAATCTCTCTAAGTTTCGGGTTCTTACATGCAATATGATGCTCTACATATTAAAAAGTGTTCTTTATTTGAGTATAAGTATGCTATCATATATGACTACCGATGGATACATGTCATAATAAACTAGTAAGTATTATTAGAAATTCATATTAAATAAGTTTAGGATTATTTAGGATTATAAGTTTAGGATTATCTAAATAAGTTTAGGATTATAAGTGTTCCATGTGTCGAAATCATCTAGCAACACCATCATGTACTCTTTCATAGGTTCTTGCACATATTTCCCCATAAACTCATATTACACGAAATAAAAGGAGATAAAACTTCACCACATCCTTGTGAGAAAATTTTACAAATTTTTTTTGCCTCATAAAGGAACCTAAGATCCATGCTTATCATGTTGTTGTAATTTTTTTCCATCGTCTAAAGTTAGAGACGTGTATTATCCTACATGGGAAAATGACCTAATTTCATTATCGTTATCAAACAAAAATCTATGGGCCCGAATATTGGTTCATGTCTGTATACCCTAAGTAAATCTGATTCACTAGTAAACCGGAAAGAACCTCACACTTGAAGACATTATGCAACAAAAGATGGTCCTTAGATGTGCTAGGTAGGTCAAGCCAAGAGTCGAAACATGATTTCCTAAACAGTTGTTCTTGCACCGCAGTCAACTTGGTCTTTATATGGATTTCGAGAATATTTTCACATTCTATGGCCATATAAGCATCGTATATTAGTTGTTGATGCAAATACAAAATATTCATTAGCTTTTTCCACAACAAAAGGATAAGTTGTGCTAAATTCACAAAAAAGTGCATATCTTTGATATTTTTGAAACCTATTTTTTAAAACTAGTTTTCGACTAAGGTTTTTCGAAAACAAGATTCACAAAATGGTTCAAATCTTCGAAAACCATTTTCGAACGAGTCGAAATTTTTTGAAACACTAAAACAACTAATCGGGAAAAAAATGTATACTATGTGTTTGTTTATACATCGCACACCATTATTAGAAAACCAACGCCAAAAAGAGCTTTAAAAACCTACTAAACCAGTTGTTGAACCCGATGACCTAGTTTGAAAATCGTCTTATGAGCTTCGAACTCATGCTTTGGCTTCGAAAGCAATATTTCTAGTGAATAAACCACACTATGATGTTCGCATTACATCTACGATGAAAAACTATATAGCTTAATTACTTGTGCTACCATTCTTCAAGATTTCCAGTCTCCAATTTGTGAAGATGTAGGATGTTGAGAGACTTCAAAAATGATTTTGGGGATGGACGGTTAAAATGTATTTTTTTTTTAGGTTTACGTACGCACCTATAACCACATTTGACCTCTTCCAAATTTCGATTAGCTCAATTTCAAAGACGATGATTAGTTTCTGAATATATAAAGTGGAGGGGTTGATCATATCTAAAACCTTTTATAAAAAGGAGGTTATTGAGTCATTGTGGTCAATACCTCTAAAAATAAAGTTTTCAAACATATAAAACAAATTAGAAAAATAACTCATTAGAATAAACTAAGGAACATTCAAATTCTGTTACATGCTTGTTTTTATTGACTGATTTGCCGCTTATTTCTGTTATAACCGATTTGTCTATGTCGGTCCGTTTACCAATTATCTACTATTATGCCACCGTAATTTTGATCCCTTTCATTGTTTTTATCTAATGAACGAGATTGGTTCCTACATTATCACAAAAGATGTGGTTCTCGGTTTGAACTCAACCCTCTATGTTACCCATGTTAGATCAATAGTGCTAAAAATTAAAATATAAAACAAAAAATATAAATTATAAGGAAGATGTGTGAAGAAGATTCATACTGGATGTGCTTCTTCTCATGAAATGCAGGAGGCAAGTACAACCCATCATTTGCTATTTCATTTTTTTCAATGGGTCCCGCAAGAGTTCAAACTCTTGGAGGCCGGCTGTCCTTTAACAACCAAAGAATTGGAAGATTTTGGTTGAAGGGCCCACTTATGTCTATCTGAAATACTGTGTAGGCTGAATAAGTACCAGACTTAAAAGGGACAAAAAGGAATGTGTTCTTATTCCATTCCTGCCCTCCATGCAGAAGCATCTCTCAGTTTTTCTACTTTTTTCATGTATGTACCTATTCCAAGTTGCAGATGCTTTAGTCAACAGAATCTTCTTCCATTTCTTCTAAATTTAACTTTGGATTTATTTTACATCGTTATCTATATCCTGTATACGGAGACATGAAAGATAATCGTGATTAATACCAATGCAATGATAAATGAACGATGATATAAATGTCTTTCAATTAGGTCCCAAGACAACAAAGATAGTGGTGAGAAAAATCATGGAATAAGGTTCTTTTTTACTTTACCACACTTATGGATCTATTCCGGTGCCCATTGTAAGGTGTTTATAGTTCTGTAGTGCAAAGGAATTAAATATTTTGTCTTAGCATAATATTAAAAAGTGGGGTTGCAAAACAAAGTACTCAATGAAGAATACAGGATGAAAGCGATTAAGCGAGTGAACTTACATGTAGCCACGGAGATTGGATGGGAGTTTAGTGTTGTTCCCTCATTAAATCTATCCAAGATTCTATGCTTCGCTTGGAAAGCACCCATCCCACCCCCACCCATTCTCCATTTGCTTATAAGGTCGGGATGAGAGCAGACCTCAGATAGGATAATATCATATTAAGATATAGTATCAAAACGCATATTTGAGAATACAGGAGAATCAAGTTTCATAACTGGAAGGGTGAGAAGGTCAAGATCAAGATCAAAACTAAATAGACAATATAGTATCCAGGTATCAAAAATTGAGTACGTTAGTTGTATGATATTGGGCATTTTATATGTTGCTACTATGAAACTGATTACAATAATATTTCTTTTTTGGGTATAAAGATGTATAATCATCATCATCATCAAAGAAAGAACATCCATTCTACATCAAGAATGTCAATTACACCAGAAAGGCATCTGTTTCTGCAAGGTGGGGGCGATTCGGGACTTGTTTTATCAACAGATGCTAAACCTAGACTCAAATGGACACCAGACCTCCATGAACGCTTCATAGAAGCAGTCAACCAGCTTGGAGGAGCAGATAGTAAGCACAATATTTTGTTTAAAAAAAATAAGAAATGAAATGAAAAAAGAAGCTTATTGAGTCTTTTCCTATATTTTGTTAGAGGCTACTCCAAAATCAGTTTTAAAGCTAATGGGAATTCAAGGGCTTACTTTATACCACTTAAAGAGTCATCTCCAGGTACAACACATGCCAAGAACACTTCCTTTTATTCCAGTCATATTAACATGCTTTGCAAAAATTTAAAGTAATTAGCTTTTTTGATTGGCAGAAGTACAGGCTCAGTAAAAATCTATATCGGCAAACTAATAGTGGTGGCACAAATAAAGTTGGTAAGAAATCTAAGAATGAATTTTAAGATGTTTTGTGACAATTTGTTAATAAACGCACATTTAATCATAAAAGAAAATTTTGGTTGTAGATATGGTCACGCCAGTAGGAGATGCCATTGGTGAAACAAATGGACCCCACATGAGCAGTTCAAGTGTTTGCCCTCAAACATACAAGTAAGAGACATTTATTCATATGTACATGGAAAGGGAAGTGATTTGGACACAACACTGTTTATCCATAAACAACAATGATATGCTCTTTATGCATACTCTACAAACCGTGTAAAGCATAAATTTTGGTGTATTAATAAAAAGTGTTGTGTACAAATCACTTTCCCAAATTCTTTTTTTTCCGGACAACGGTTTACCCCTCAAATACTTATTCTAATGATATAAATATCCGTTCAGAAACTTGCAGATAAGTGAAGCAATACAAATGCAAATTGAAGTTCAAAAAAGGCTACATGAGCAACTTGAGGTACAAAATCAGATTAAAAAATGTACAACCGTTTATGGTTGGTTTGTTTTTTATTCTTTTCAAAGTATGAACCTATTCTCTTAATACAAAATAGGTACAGAGACATTTACAGCTACGAATAGAAGCACAAGGGAAATACTTACAAGCGGTTCTTGAAAAAGCACAAGAGACTCTTGGAAGGCAAAACTTAGGTACAGCAGGACTAGAGGCTACAAAAGTTCAGCTATCTGAATTGGTCTCCAAAGTATCCACTCAGTGCCTAAATTCTGCATTTTCGGGAATTAAAGATTTGTCAATGCAGAGAAATCATCCAACAGATTATTCAAACGACAGTTGCTTGACTTACTATGAAGGACAACAAAATGAACAAGAGATGATGGGGTTGACCCCTTCAAAGTCAAAAAAGGTTGACAATGAGCCAGAAAATGCATGGTGTGAAAAAACGAAAAGAAATAAAAATTTTGATCTGTCGATGAGTGTTGGAGGACTCAAAAACAATGAATGGAACACCAGTAGAAGATACACCGACGAAAAATTCATGGATGGGGACGAGGAAGCCATTTTCATGGATCAAATCACAAAAACAAAGACAGATTCGGTGAGGCTAGAGAACATGGAGATGTCTCAAAAGTTTCAGTTGCCTTATTTTGAACAGAAACTTGACCTTAATGCCCATGATGAGAACGATGCAGCTTCAAGTCACAAACAGTTCGATCTGAATGGACTAAGTTGGTGATAACAGGGTTTAATTTTGAATGCAGAATCATTTTTCTCATTAATGCCAGTATCTTGCTGATCCTGAGTACCTGATAAGTGATAAAATCACAACAAATGGCAAGCAGTATCTCAACCGATGAGTAAGCCAAGTAGAGATGGCAATGGAGCTGACCCGAATCCTCGCCCCTATCCCTGCCTGGGAATATAAATGCATCCCCATCCCCGTATCCAGTGGGAAACAGGGATCCCAGTGGATAATCGGGGATTTTTCCCCATTAGATTTTCCATGGGAACTCAACAACCCGGAAAAATGAGAGTTGGAAATGCATGCATTTTCCATTTTGTAAAAAGTACAAGTATTGTACTAATATAATTGTTTGTAATGATGAAAACAGCTATTAAATAGATCATTTTAGCTTCAAAATCGAAATGATTTGACACCATATCTTTCCATGACATATTGGGTATTTTTCATGTTGAACAAACGCATACAAAGATAAGCATCGTTACGCCAACAGATCACAAACTTAATCTTAACAAACCAACCAACTAATCATTTCAAGGGTGGTTAGCCACCGATCTAATCTTTTTTGGAGCAACTAATGGAATCAAGAAATAGAATAAGCATAGTGTAACACCTATTTCAAGTATTGATTGGAAATTGCTTTTGTGGGGTGTTTGCGCATGGACTCAGCGAGTTTGGAGTCCAACTCGTCGAGTACGGTCGTGATATCATAGACGCGGGTTGGGACTGACTCGGCGAGTCGAAGGGTCGACTCGGCGAGTCCGAGCTGTTTAAAGAAAACCCTAGTTTCGGGGTTTTCCCTATATATAAACGTCATTATCCGCCCTAGTAGCCTCCTTTGGCACCATATTATCCCAGAGAAGGACGTTTGCGGCCGTGAACTCCCTTGAGTGAGAGTGAGAGCTTGGTTTAGCAAGATTGGAGGGTTGAAGAAGAGATCTAGAAGAAGGAACAAGAGGGGAAGCAGTAGATCCAGCATCTACACTGCATTGGGCACCATTTTAAGGTAAAAAGTCGTTACCTTGATCTATAGATTCTTATATCTCTCATCTTTCTAGTTCATGTCCATTTTGGGGCAAGTGGAGTCTAATTTTAGATCTGGACGTATCATTGGGATATAGTTTCAGATCTGGACCTTTTTAGGTCCCCAAAGTCATAAAGTTGCTCCCTTGATGTAGTTTGACCCTTCCAATGAACACAAACCTTGTTGAGAGCATAGTATTGACCTTCTAGCATTATGAGGCCTTGCATGCACGTAAAGTTTGCAACTTTACGTGGCATTTGTGATAGAGAAGGCTGGATCTGAAGTTTGGGACTCCAGATTCCACTGTGAAGGACCGGAAACAAAATGGATTAAAGGAACTCGTCGAGTCGCCTAGTGACTCGGCGAGTCGGGTTTACGGCTAAGGGTTTGCGGCCGAGGGTGTACGGATAAGGGTTTACGGCCATGGGGTTTCTGTCCAGGGTTTTCGGTTGAGCGTTTGGAGGGGACGCGGCGAGTCACTCTTGTGACTCGGCGAGTCGGCGAGTTAGGCAAGGAACTCGGCGAGTGGCTGGTTATACTCGACGAGTTGAGGTCAACATGGACTGTTGACCTTGACTGTGGGCTTTGACTTTGATCAGGGTTGACTAGGGTTGACCCGAAGGGTATTTATGGTATTTCAAGGTCATGACAGGTTAATCGCATGATGATTGCAGGCAGTTGAGTTGGAGTAGTGCGTCGGGACTTACTGGGTCTTACTCTGTTAGTCTAACAAATGGAGTTTCGTCTGCGGGATTTCGTCAGTGTGAGGTGAGTCTCCTCACCATACCAATGGGTCTAAGGCACCAAGGCCGACCCATTTTATGATATGTGAGTGATTAGGTGTTTTGTTAGTATGACGTTTGCATAGAAGACCTCGGGGGAGGGGGCGTTCCCGAGGCAGTAGACTAAGACCATGTGGGGGTTCCCATGGCAATTAGTTATATGGTATGATATCTATTATGTGATATATGGTATGCTAGATATTCTGTGATATGCGCTGTGCTAGTTGACTCTGTGTTGCTTGTAGGGAAGACCTCGGGGGGTTCCCGAGGCAGTGGGATATAAAACCATGTGGGGGTTCCCATGGCGTTCCAGGCTAAGACCATGTGGGGATTCCCATGTCAGTTGGATATAAGACCATGTGGGGGTTCCCATGGCTTTCCTAGTTAAGACCATGCGGGGGTTCCCATGGCAGTGGGCTAAGACCACGTGGGGGTTCCAGTGGCACCCGATGTAAGACCATGGAGGGTTTCCATGGCTTCCCTATATGTTTATATGTATGGCTTGTGTAGTTGATATGATTTATGTGAGTATGTGAATAAGACCTTGGAGGGTTTCCATGGCATCTTCATATATGTATATGCATGCTTATGCAATTGGTATGGCTTATGTGGTAGAGATAGCTTTTATAGCTAATATGATATGTGTTATGTGGATTATTTGTGGGGTATGCTCTGGGAACTCACTAAGCTTTGTGCTTACAGTTTTGTTTATGGTTTCAGGTATCATGGTTCTGGAAAGGAAGGGCTCAGCTTGATCGCATTGCACGCACCCATGTTTTCCGCAACGAATGATTTTGGGATGAACTCTGAAAAATGTTTTAATTAACAATGTTTGGAATAAATGGTAACTATGTTTGGGTTATATAAAAATGAAATTTTTTACCCTTGATTTTTGCGACGTTACACATAGTTAACCAATCGAATAATCATCATAAAACAAAACATCAAATTAATGGTGTTCTAATGTTCATGACAAATAAAGTAGTAGAGTGAGAGTTAGAGCAGGAATCAACATATAAGTTTGCTGATGCACAAGAAAAGTAGATGAGAAACCTCCTCAAAACATAAAGTGAAATAAATGCATTGTCTCCCCTATGGTAAGACGGATGCATTTGCTTGTACAAAGTAAAATGTCAGTTGTTGATGAACTCCAATTTGTCCAAATATTCATCAACATTTTCTATGATCAGTAGCTAGATCTTATCGTTGAATGTCAAATGATTAGCTAGTGCAAATAACCAATTTTTCTACGATACGGATCCTTTCATTTTTCAGCTCCTAGAAGTATAATAACCATTGATTGTGTGATAGCTCCTCAAGTCAATACTAGAAAATAGGTCTTTAATGACATGCATTGCGTGTCATAAAAATGTACAGATGACATGCAAATGTGTGTCATTAAAGTCCGAGTCATAAATGAAGAAGGCGTGCATTTGTTTGTCATAAAGTTATGACACACATTTTCGACGTGCATTTACGACACACAATTTGCATGTCTTAATTTTTAGTATTTTAAAAAATCATATATTTTGATATATTTACTGATTTGCAAACTAAATGACAATTAATTTCTCATAATACAAAATAAAATACATATATAGAAAAATAATCTATTTCATACAATAACGTTATATGTCAAACAAGTTATCAAAAATATTTTAGACCACATATGTTAAATACTAAATACTGACAAACATTTTAAGGTTAACAAAATATCGATTTTCGATGCAAAATATCACCGGAAAGGCTGCAACCAAAGAGGACAATTCTTCACGAAATCCATCAAAATCAAAATCCGTGTACTTAACTTTGTCGTCCCTATAAGGAGGGAATAACATATAAAAGCGTGTGATATATAGAAAAAAATTGTAAAAAAGTTGACAGCATATATACCATCCATCAATTTGACAAATAGACATAGAATGATACTTTCATGTAATTCCTTTTTTATTAGAGCATTGTATTTTCAAATAAATGAAAGTAAATTGTTATTTCGTGCATATAATGTAACGTTCCATTTTCACAACCAAAAAATTCCATTTTTATTAAGGTAAAACTTCACAATTATAAATTCACTTTAAGAAAACTATTTATTACAAATTACATTTGTCGAAAATCAGAGTAATATAATAAACGCGGAATCCTCAATGTTGCTAATGAGTGTCTACAGTCGGACATTTGCCTTCCCACGATCACCGATAGAACCTGAAAACATAAACAACTGGGTAAGCACAAAGCTTAGTGAGTTTCCCCAAAATACCGCACACAGCAGAACATATACAAGCATGCATACTGAGTCCACAGTGATCGAACTAGATTACCCCGGGTATGTAGTCTGGCACCTCATGCCCAAACTCTCATCCCGAGCCTCTGTGCCTATGGCTTACAACCGGCCCGCACCTGGTCTCTTGGCCTACAACACATAGCAGGACCACCTCAACCTCAACCGCCATAATATGTCGACATATAAACAAACAATAGATCAAGTAGGCACAAAAATACATGCAACTACCAATCATACAACTCAATACCACCTACTAGACCCTTCACAACACATTGCTCAGCTATCGAAAACTCTCCATGGAATGCATAACCATAAGAAAATAGAGGTGAGATAGCCACCCGAACAGATGATCCTACTCTAGAGCTACAACCAAACAATGAATAGACAGGAAAGCCTAGATCAAGAGTTCTGTAACATCCAAAAAATCAAGGTAAAATTTTCATTTTTTTAAAACCAACCCACAAACCATTAATGTTTACAAAACTTAATTTCCAAAAGTCAAAATCACAAATCAGAGTATCCAAAAATAAAATCTCATAAAAATTGAAGGATGTGCATGATCAAGCCTTCGTCTGGTCTTGATCATCTGAAGTACCATAAACATAAAAATTAAACTGTAAGCAAAAGCTTAGTGAGTTCCCCCAAATTACCACACACAACCAAACAAATGAAAATAATGCATGTTGGGCCCACAGTCTCCCGACTGGATTACCCTGGCCCACAAACTCCCGAGGATTGGCACTCTCACCCACAATCTCCCGATTGGATTTCCACTGGCCTACAATCTCCCGATTGGATTGCCACTTGGTTTGTTGGCTGACAACACAAAGCAGTATAGCCTCAACACACCCACACTATGTCGACGTATGTAATAGATAAACATATAACTAGCAAATACATGTAATCATACAGATCTACCAATCTAACATATAATAATCATGGCGTAATCCTATATACCAGGATATGTAAGCTAGTGGGCCGGCATTGGTGCCTTCGACCCATGAGTACAGTGAGAAGAAACTCACCTCACAGCCCGAAATGTAGCTGAACAGATCACATCTCCAACTGCTGACTCTACCGATTACCTATCCAATAAACAGTGAACTAAATCAATCTACCACCCACAATACCCAAAATGACCTAAAGTCAAACTTGGTTAAAGTCAATGTTCAATGGTCAATGTCAAAGTGAACTCCAGCTGGTCGCCACGTCGTGGCCACAAATCGCCAAAACATACGACCTTAGCCCAGTCGCCATGTTGTGGCAGCCTAGGCTAAGTCGTGGGCACTAGGTTCCTAACAACTTAAGGTATTAAGTCGATTTCATT